GCTGGCACGGAAAGCCGCTTACATAATCTGTTCCCTGCTGAAAGCTGCTTCCATTCACAAGTCTCTGCTTGTCATTGTGTAGGTGCATTAAAGAGGGAAGGAGGAAAGGAGGGAACAGAGGAAGAAAAGGCAGCTGAATGAACTCACTCCAAAGATGGTGACGGGAGAAGGAGTCTTTTCCTTCCCGCCCCCACTCCCCAAATAAATCTTCCTCAAAGCAAACATCATTTCCGTGCTGTCAGGGGAGTCTCCTCTTGTTGATTAATTCGTGCAGGCCCCCTCCCCCGGCTGTCTAAGACATGCTCTCGCTCACTTGCTGGATTACAGAGTCAGTCTGCCAGGGCTCCATTACCGTGAGATTTAAGCATGCATTAGATCATTAAAACTAATGACAGCAAGACGATTACTTCGAGGAAACCATGGTGGCATTGTGCGCAGCCATGTGGTGCCACCCCTGCTTCCCTGACTCAGATGTGGGGTGCAGAACTGAGCTGGGAAGGGCCAGCTGGGTTCCCTGGGACCCCCAAGCCCTGGCCAGGCTGGAGGACTGATTATTGCTCCCAGGCCACAACCGGAAGGAGAACCCCTGGGAGTGGTCCGAGCTCAGTCGGGAATGGGGAGCATCTGCTCCGCCCAGGCGGGGGTGGGGGACACGCCTGTGGGGTTGGGGACAGGAAGAAGGAGGTTGTGTGTATGGGAGGAGAAAGACCTGGTTCTGATCCTGCTCAGCTCCTGGGGACCGGACGGAGGGACGTGGCAAAAGGCCGTGGATCATGGCACACAGAGAGCCATTACAGTAGCACTGTGGTTTTTAATGTGCCATCCCTTACAGCAGTGAGGGGCTGTGGGAACTCGGGTCACGGCCCTCGGTTTGGAGCCAAGAACTTGCCTTCTAACAAGTTCCCAGGTGACTTTGAGGATCACCTGGTTCAGGGAATCACAGTCCCTGAAGCAAGAGGAGCTTTGCATCCCCCCCCCCCCGCACCCCCAAATGCACCTCCGTTAACCTTTCTCGGCCGTTTCTGTCCTCTTTCCCCTGCACATCTGGGAACAGCAGATGCCACTCCATCCCGCGAACCTGACCTACCCCACTTATAAGACAGGCTGGGGCGGTCACTAAGTGGGATGACTCAAGCTGCTTGCATTAACCCACCCAAAGCTCCGGCCCTGCAGCCCAGAGCAAGCCAAGCACAGTGACGCTCTCACGATGGAGTTTTCCTAATTGGCACACTGAGTGTTTCGGGGTGAGGCCGGAAGCTCTCTTCCCACCGCCCCATCACATTTCGTGGGCACCATTCGTGGTGTCCAGGACTGTGAAGAGATCGTGTCTCTAGCCTATTTTATGTCTGGCGTCCAACAGGGGTAATGTGGGTGATCACTCAGTGTGAGCTGTGTGAACCAACCAACAGTAAAGGCTCCAGCAGGACAGGAGGGAGGCCCTGTCCTTCACCTGTAGTGGACCCAAGATGAGAGCCAAGTCCTTTAGCCCCTTCACCAATGACTCATGGAAATCAGCAATCACTCACGGAGTGCCTGCTGCACGCGGGCCTCCGGCTGCACCAAGGGCCAAAGACACTGCCCCAGGGTGGCCATCTACTAGTCAGTCAATTGAAGTTTCCTTTCTCCATTCTTTCGTTCAGCAAGTCACTGCTGAGGACATGCTCTGTGCTGACCATCATCCCCAAAAGGGAGACAGCACCACGCTGGCCCTTAAGGACCCTGTGTAGCAGCATCTCAGGACTCTAAAGAGGGACCAGCATGGCAGGGAACACATTTCCAGGAGAGGGAGGGAGGGAAAGCGTGGGTTCCCCAGAGAAAGTCTACTCTGCTCCGAGCAGCCCAGGGGATGAGTCAGCAAAAGTCTTGCAGGGATTCTGAGGCTCAGAGGCTGGGCAGGGAGCAGGGCCCTCCTGGCCATCCTCCCTGAGTCTGCCCCACACTCTCGGGCTGCCTGACACTTGCTGAGAGCCTCCTGAGCCTGAGTGCAAGGTAGCAGCACTGTGCCCATTCTACAGGCAAAGAAACTGAGGTCCAGCAACTGTATGAGCACAGCAGGGCACAGTGTGCAGGAAGTCAGGGGTGAATTCACTGTCACTGCCGAGATATCTTCCATCTTGCTGACTCCCTGCCCAACTCAGGACTGAGCCCTCTGCAAGCATTTAGCTCTTAAAGTCTGCACACCTCTGTTATGTTCCTCATTTTGAGAATGGGGCAGTGGAGGTCCGGAGGGTGAAGTGATTCAGTCAGACAGCGCCAGAACCAGTATCTAGATCCAGAGCTTGCACTCAGCCACACCCCACATTGCCTGTCTGTATCTAATGGAAGAAGCCAAGGCCAGAGTAGGTAAGGGCTTTGCCTAAAGTCCCGCAGCAAGGCAGCGGGGAAACTGGACTCAGGCTGGCTGCACACCACACTGCAGCCCCGGGAGGCCCAAGGAGAGGGCAGGAAGCCACGCAGGGCTGAGCAACACGAAGGAAAGGGCCAGTCCTGCTCGCTTCCTCTATGCCCTCATAGACGCTGCATCCCGGTGCAGGTGAATAATTTAAACTCCTCGCCTCCAGCCCACCACTCCGGGGTCCCGCGTTTATTTTTATCCCGGGTTACAGCCACAGCTCTTCACAGAAATAAACCATGCGTTTGCTTCCCGTCGCCTGCACATCAACTTCTGTCCTGTCTGCATTTACAGCCAGCTTCCCACTCAGCGGGGAGTCAGAGCAGAGGCAGGGTCCGTATGTCATGGTGGTTTTGAATCAAAAACCACAAAGGCTCTATGACCCTCACAGAGAGGGGAAGGGTTAATGAAGAGGAAGACAGTCCTGTAAATACGACAGCCTCCAAATGACTCCCCAGAGCGGCCACCCGGAGCAGAGCCCTCATCCCCAGGGAGGCGGCCGGGAGGTGCACAGATCGGAAGGTGAGGAGCCAGAGCCAGAGCCGGCCGAGGAGCTGGCTGTGCAGCCGCCCTCCTGGAACCACAGGGTCTCTCTGGCTGCCACGGCCTCCCCTCCTGCCAGCCAGGCGGACTGTCCACTTTTGCCTCCAGGACTAAGCTTCCGGATCCAAGGCAGCAGGGGTGATGCCAAGGTCCTTCCTGGGCTCCCTGGGGTTGGGGACGGGGAAAGATGCGGAGCATCTTCCTGACGGTGAGTTTGTGTGTCTCTGGTCCCCCCTGGAAAGGTTAGAATAACACGACACTAACCCTTCCCGGAAGCCTGGACATACACATAAGCGAATCAGATTTAGTCCAGGGCTCTTTCCAGAAGGTTCCACGTCCTGCTCCCTGGTGCACCACAATGCACCACTTCAAATATGACTGGGGAGGAAGGAGCGCGGCCTCCTGGCCCGCAGCCACTTTGGGGATGTGAGGCAGCAGGGCGTGTGTGGGAAGCCCTGGTGTCTGGACACACTCATCCTGTCCCTCAGCGGGGTGGGCATGCATTATAACATTCTGGATGGGATGGCAGGCAGTGCTTCCCGGAGGCCCCTGGGTGTTCCTTAGCAGCCCTCTCAAAATCTCCCCATATTCCAGTAGTCCATAAAGCAGGGGACCCCTAAGATCCTTCTCTGCAGGGTCCCAGCCGTGGGTCATTTGATTAGTCAGGGCAAATGTCCAATGTTTTAAATACTCCCCATGGTCAGAACTGCAGCTTCTTATTTGAACCAAATTTCTTCCTATTCATCTTCATGCCTGATGCTTCCCAGAGAGGAAACTGAGGCATCTTCTCTCTCAAGGTCACCCAGCAGTGGAACAGGATGAGAAGGCAGGGATTTTTGAGGACCAAATCTTTGGCACTACCCACCAGGCTACCCTCCCCCTCCAGCTCCTATGTCCTGCCTGAAGTGCTCTAGGGCTGGACATAATGACCGCGTGGACCCTGCTTCAGGCTTGCCAGCCTCTGGGGCTGAGGTTTGACTCCTCTCACTTATAAGAGTGAGTGCTTCCAGGAGAAATCCCTGGGGGCGGGGGGCCCAGAAGGTTGAAGTGGCCCCCGAGATAATAGCAAAGATGCTAAAAATAAGGGCATTCATTTCCAGAAAGGTAGATGCAATTAAAGCAGAAAGCAAAGAGAAATCCTCTTTTGATGGGTCACAGCTTAGCAGCAAAGGCATTTTAAAATTAAATGTGAGCTTTGGATTCAGTTACAAGAGACCTCTGCTTCCCACTCACTAACAGGTTGGTGCAGGCTTACCCCATCCTGGTCTCAGAGAAAGAAACTAGTGCCGGGCTATGGAAGGTCTGGGGCTGGCAGCTGGAACCCTTCCCCAGGATCTGAACCAGCCACGGTCCCCTCTGTCCCTACTGGGACTCAGGCTCGAGGGTGGATGAGCACCCCTCCCCGAGCCACCACTTACAGGTTACACCACCTGTAAGGTAGCACCTGCTCAGCCGGCAGTGGCTGCTCCCTCTGGCCCTCTTGACCATTCATTGCAGGCAAAAAGTGACCCTTGAATCTCCCCCAGATCCCTTATCTCAAGAAAGCAAGAACAGCTAGCAGAATCCACCACAATGAAATTACTCAGTTTTCCCTGAGAGATGGTATCCTCTACACCCTGCCCTGTGCAAGCCTCTGCCAGTGCATCCAGGCAAGGGTTAATGTTCCAAACCCAGCTGGACCTCTCCCCACCGGGACCAGCGGGCTCACCCACAGCTACTGAACACCCAGAGACCACGCCAGGCTGGCCAGCCCCACACAGGGTTAAATCGCTCGCAGCATGGCCAGCTTTTGCTGCAAGGGAGACAAATTGGGCAGAAGCCACTCTCTATCGCATTGCCCACAACCTGAGAACATTTTACCACCACCACCAGCACCCCGGGCACCGAGCTGAGATCTCATCTGGCTTTGGGGTGCCGCTTTGGTGATAAATTACCATAGAACCTGGGCAAATAAACGTGGTCATTTCTCAGCTCGTCTCGCCTCTCAGTCCAGCTCACGCACATCCTAACCCTGAGATTCCGATACCCCCAGCCCCTCTGCAGGCCCCAGAAGCATCTCTCTTACCGAGACACCGGAGGGTTGCAGGGCAACCGGGAGCCAGATTCGTGCCAACTCCTTCCTTCCCTGCCGGATGGGAGGCTGCTAACTCCCGATGACTTGGTTTGAACGCTCCGCAGAGATGCCTGGAAGAAAATTGTTCATTTGACTCTCCTCCTCTTCCCAAAATAAAATCAAGACACCAGCACACACGCGTGCGCGCACGCACACACACACACACACACACACACACACACACACTAAATCAAGTAGGACAAGACAAAAAACAATACCACTGCCAGAAGAGCAGCAAACTCAGATCAGCCAGAGTCCGTGGACAGCAGGGTATTCATGCAGACCGTCCCCCTGGGCAAAGGTATCCGGTGAGTCTGTCTGTCCGTCTGTCTGTCTGTCTCTCTCTCTCTCCTTCCTTTCTCTCGCCCTCTTCCTCTCTGTCTTCCTCCTGTCTGCACCTAGGCAACTCCAGGCTGCTTGCAGTAGACGAATCAATTTTGCTTCCCCGGCGCCCGCTCGGGCAGCGGCTGTCACCGCTACTGCAAACCCTGGCGAGCTAGGGAGGGGCGGCGGCAGCTCCCAGCGCAGGGGAACCGAGCCTGCCTCCCACCCGTGATTTATGTGTGCGGTGCCCGGAGAAGGCGAGGTGGGAGGCCGGGAGGCGAGGCTGGAGAGATCCCAGCTGGTGGCAGCAGCAATGGGGGACTGGCGGTCAGCACCGCGGACAGCGCCGAGGCGCGGGAGGAGGGGAAGGGCGGGCGCGAACCCCCCAGGCGAGAAGTTGAGTTATTGGATGGTGCGAGCGGGGAAGGCGGGAGGCCGGCGGGAAGGGAGCCGGGACCTGGCCACCTCACACAGCCAAATGGGCGACCGCCTCCCCACCACACTTGTGCTAATAGTGCCCCTCTCCAAGCAAGTAACTTGGAGGCAGCCTCCTCAGTACGCCCAGACCCCGCTGCGCCTCTGCAAGAACTCCGAGCTCAGCGGGAGCCTCTCTCCCACTGGTCTGGCTCCCTCCACTCACAGCTCTGCCTGGCTCGCCAGCTCTCCCCCACCTTCTGCAGATTTCTGAACGGTATCATGGAATTTTTGTTACTCAGAGCAGAAACGATAAGGCTTGGGATAAAGAAATTTCTCAGGGGCAACATGGTTCAGATACATAACTGCTTAACAGGTCTCCAGGAGCCAGCTCCGGCCCCCTTACAGGCTTGGAAAAGTCATTCAATGTTTCCAAGTCCCAGGTGGAAAGCAAGGCTATGAATTCTTTATTTTCCTAAAGATCGGAGGAAAGAGGTTTTTAAAAAAGACAACAATAAGAACAGTATTTTTGGGATACTATGATTTCACAACATAGAACATGTGTGGTAATGCAAATGTTACGACAGAGAGACAAAGAAATTGACAGCCAACAGGGACAGCGTGTGTCAACCTTTAGCATGTGGTCTGGAGTGGGATGATGCTGGAAAATTTTGGGAATTCTAAATCAGACATTTGAGCCTTCGCCAGAGACTTCTCCCCCAGAAAACCCCATTCTGGCTTTCTGATGAGCAGCTACTATCTGGAAAAGCCAACAAAATCAAAAGGGGTTGAGTTGATACACAGAGGAGTGGATCCCAGGTTTCCGGAGTTCGGGGGATTCGCCCCTGAGAAATCTCTTTATCCTACGTTCTGGGGTCCTGTTCCTGCTAACTACGGGGAAGCATTCATGTTGGAGAAAAAAATCAAGACCTACAAAGTGAGAGCGGCTCCCTCTGGGGAGAGTCTCTCACTAAAAATTTTCCACAACAGTAGCCCAGGGCAACTCCACTATTTGCCACTTAACTGTCCACTTGATGTAGGACTTGGAGACCATTAGATCTTTATTTTGTCCACGAGGCCTGATGGTGGTGGTGATTGTCCTGATGGTAACGATCGTGGGGATGGTGTTGATGGTGGTGGTGGTGGTTGTGGTCATGATGGTGCTGCTGCTGATGGCGGTGGCAATCACGATTTCAGTGATAGCACCTGAGAACTTACTATGTGCAGGGCATCCTGCTAGGAGCTGGATGAGCTCCTAGCAGGATCATTCTGAGTCCTTACCGGGGTCCTCTGAAGGTACTATTATTATTCCTATTGTATAGGTAAGAAAACTGAGACTGGAAAAACTAAACTTCATGCTCAAAGGTACATGGCAAGAGGCAGCATTCAAACCCAGGGCTGTATGATTCCAAAACCCATTCACTAGAATACTCGTCTCTCAGAATCAACTCAAATGCAGTCTTCCTTTTTTTTTTTTTTGCAAGATCCCATTGAATATTTTCGGGATAAACTCCATGACATAAATTTAGTCTCTTTACAGACAGTGAAACTGAGCGCCAGAGAGAGGTAGCAACTTGCCCCTATTAAACAGGTAGTTGAGTGTGGAATCCAAGATGTTCAGCTGCCTGAACCTGTGTTCTCAAACCTAGAAGAGTCCAAGGACATAGTAAGTGCTCAGTAAACTTCCAGACAGTCATTCAAGAAGACCAGAGAGGGACAGAAGCCACCTTGGATTCTAATGGTGGAGTCAGAACACTGGTAGTTCTTAGGCACCCTGCTCCTTAGTCCTGGGGAGTTTCTATCCCACCTACAGCTTACTCAGAGGATGAGCCCAACCACTTGCTAACTGCCTCACCACCCACCACGTGGCCAGCACGGTGCTGACCAATTGCTAACTCCAATCTTTACAACTCTGTGAGCTGGATGCTAATATTGCTTCTGTTTTGGGTGTGAAGACCAGGCTCAGACAGGGAAGGTGCAGACCTGAAGGTCTCGCAGGCAGAAAGTGGCAGGGGCAGGATGTATCAAATCATCTGGCACCCCACTAAGTTTTTCCCAAATCAGGACCCCTCCTAGCCCCCCTCCGGGAAGTGAAAAGGAGGCCTCAGCTGACCCCCAGCCCGGTTTCCACTAGAACAGTTGTGCTTTTAACTGATTTTGCATACTGGGCATCTGTCCAAGCCTTCATTGAAATAAGGGCTTTGCAGCAAAATTAAAAAATAATAATATGGTGAAACCAGAGCTCTGCACACTCCCTGGTGACCATGTCCTCTAGGAACCAGCTCTGCCTCCTCAGGGGGGACCTCGTCCCACACTGCCCATCCTCTGAGCACCATCTCCTCGTCTCTCTTCTATCCTAACTGCTCCTGGAAAATTCTTCATTTAAAGAATCAGCAGACTCTGATAGCTTTGTGACAATGCAGCAGGGAGTCCTCCAGGCTGAGCCAGCCAGGCTGCGCTATTCCCTGAGGGTTCAGGCAAAGCTGGAGCAGGACTGCAAAGAGGGGCCTCAGGGCGCTGGGTTCAGTCACTTGCCTCACCCAGTTAAGACTCCCCGACACCCCAGGGAGGTTGGCAAAGGAGGGCAGTAGTCATGGCTACAATCAGCACCCCCGGGCTCCAGGTGACCTCTGTACATCCCATAATTATTGATCTTCACCCCAATCCTATATCAGAATGGCGTGGCTTTATTTCCATTTTATGAATGGGAACACTGAGACTCAGATGCTCAGCACCACCAGCCCAGGGCCACTCCATCCTGAAGGGGTGGGAAGGGAACATAAAAAACCCAGACCCTCTGGGTCTGTAGCCGGTGTGCTGCGTGGCAGCCCTCGTTATGACAGATTCGCCTGCTTACTTAGGTGTCTCAGGTCCACCAGGTGCAATGCTCGGTCAGCCCAGGGCATTGCAGGACCCACAAACAACGTGAAGCGATTGTGGAGCATTATTGATCCATCTTAGAGATGAGGAAATTAGACAGCGATGTGCCACGTGACCTGCCCCAGGCGCTGCAGCCTGGGGGGTGCGGGGTGTGAATCTAACCGCTTACTGCAGAGACTTTGCTCTTCTAGTCTTTGCAGGAGATGGGTACTAAGAGGACCAGGAAAGAAAGGGCGCCCCCATTTCACCGTGCAAGTGTGGCAGGTGGCATAATGGCCCCCTACGTTGTCTGTGTCCTTGTCCCCCAAATGGTACCTTATGTGCCAAAAGGGAACTGTGCAGATGTAAATGGAGTGTCTTGGGATGCAGGCATTATCCTTGTCTCAGTCCAAAGGTGGACGGAGGAAGGGGCTGTTAACCCAGGAAGGTGGTGGCCGGGGGAAGTCGGAAAAAGCCAGGACACGGCTTTCTCTCTAGAACTTCCAGAGAAGCCTGGTGACACCTCGCTCTGAGAACTTCTGGCCACCAGAGCCATAAGATATCAAACATGTGTTGTTTTAAGTCAATAAGTTTATGGTTATTTGTCATAGCAGCCACCGGAGACTAATACAGCCAGGTGGCCAGGGAACCCTCTGAGGAGGAACCCACCACAAACCGGCTGGAGAAACCAGGCCTGGGCTCCCTCCCCAGCAGAGGACCCGGGCGCTTCAGGCTTGGCGCAGCACCTTGGAGCGCCCCGGGGTGCGTGTGCAGAGGCGCACACAGCCACATGCAGAAGCCAGCCCTCTGGGGGGGGGGGGACTCAGGCTCAGAGCCCGAGCAGCATCGCTGGGCTCCCCGCCTCCCCCTCCTCCTCCGAAGGCCCCCAGGGAAATGCTATCATCAGGAACACGAGAGGGACAAAATGTCACAGGGCAGCTTTCCAGGCGCACAGCTCCTCACAAGCAGTCAGAGGCAGGACAAGGAAATGGGGGAGAGATTAGAGACAGAGGGAAAGGGTTGGAGAGAGATGGAACAGGAATAGGAATCCCTGGGACCCGAAGACGTGGCGGTCCCAGCCACAGGGAAAACGTAACGAGATCTGGGGAAAATGGCACGGTGCCTACCGAGAAGGCCGCCGGGGCTTGCAACCAACCTTCGGGATACATCAGCAGTGCATCTATTCAGCACCGCTGGGGAAAGGTGGCTTTGGGTGCCGACTCAGAGTCTCGGCTCCCCGGGAAAGCCCTGTGACCTGGGGACATCAGCGACACATTCTGGTCCCCATCCTCCTCGGCTGTGTCATGGCACCACCGTACCCTTCCAGCAAGCCTTCAGTGTGGCATGCTGCCCTGAGCTCATGAACGGGCATTGTATATTTTAAGTAATGAACAGGCTCCGTTTTTAAGTACTACTGTGTGCTGGGTGCACATCCGGAGTCCTCCTGCTCCAGGACCGTAGCGGCAGCACGACAGTGCCTCGGGCAAACAGTCGCTGCTCCTGGGGAAGGACTAGACCAGCCCACAGTTTAATCACAGGCTTAAATATCCAGGTTTTAGAGTCAGGCTGGCAGGGTTCAAGTCTCACTGTCCTGCGTACAAACCGTGAGGCCCTGAGAAAGCATTAGACCGCTCCGTGCCTCAGTTTCCCATCTGCTTCCTCACGTGGTTAGCGCTGGAATCATATTAGCTACCATATGTCAAAGCCCTTAGGAGGGATCTTGGCACCCAGCAGTCCCTGTGTGTTCTTTATTAATTACTGTTGCTATTGTGATTGTTATTTATTCCTGAGGACGAATGTTTTCCAAAATCACATGCTGTGCTGATAATCCAGTAGACAGTATCAGACGACCTAGGCATGTGTCCTTTTTAAAGCTTCAGGTATTACATATTTATTTTAAAGTGCTCTCGAATAATCCTGCATCCCCACTTCCAGCAGTGGAATGATGTATTTGCCTATGCAAATTTATCTAAGTTGATGTAATGGATGGCAGAATCAATTTGATTTTCCCTTTGATTTCCAGCACTGCAGTAAAATGATCTGCCTGAAATCAGTTCTCCGAGAGATGCTTGGTTGTCTCACCATCCGCCACCTCCCTTCATGATGGTCTGTCTCAGGCCTGGCTCCCCAATTAGGCCAGTCAATTCAGCAGCATGGCCCGATGCCCAGAGAAAAGGAAGCAGGAGGCTCTTCCTCCTCTCAGGTCCTCTCCAAAGCTTGCTCCTCGCCTGTGACATTACTGAAGGCTGTCCCTCACCCGTGCTCCCACCCACAGCCCCGTCCACCTCTCCCACCGCCACC